GGACTTTGTTTTGGTTTTATTACTGTTCGCTTTTGAACCTTCTGTGCAAAAATTACTAAACGTGTTGAAGAAGATGAAAAAAATTGCAATTGTTTGGTAGTATTATCAGACTTAACAGTGTTGAACTTGTTTAATCTGTGGTGCTTTATAAATGCAGACTTTTCTTTCTCGAGTTTGAATGACGTGTTTGAATGATCTTGTCTCAACTAATTCTGATAAGTTGAACTTTTTAAGCAAAAACAGGTATGACAAAAAAATAGTCTGAATGGAATTGACGTCTGTAAGTCGTTGTATTCATACTGTCTCGGTTGAAACGGCATAAGTTTCGGATACTTTGCTGAGTGAAACGCGTTTGAAAAGTAAACATGAAAGCCGGTAAGAGTGAAAATACGTGGAGTTTCATTGTGAACTAACGCCATCTTCCGTTTGTTGCGGAAGTCAGAATGTTGCTGGCTAAGACAAATGTTACATTTATTGTACAAGAAAAGCCCATAAAAGTTGGATTTTGTTCATTTTAAATTGTTCTTGAATATCATTTTCAAGAGATCTAATAACTGCAGAGAATATGCTTTTTTCAAGTTAAAAGGCGCTATTAAATTGAATCATAAATTACTGACATCAAATGGCGCTTGAATAGGTTTTACAACAAAATAATTTTTTTAAAAAATAACACGTTATCAAAGACTGTCTTAAACTATTTCTCACACTAAAGTTCAACTTTTTTCGTCATTTTAAAATTTCACAAGACGTGCAGAATTTGACAACTTATGAATTTCATCATGAGCGAAAGACTTTTTGAAAACTTTTGGAACTTATTGTTTTGCATGCTTCTGAACTACTTCAAAACGTCCTCGCTGCAGAGCAGTATTTCCAACTTTGCCAGTATCAAAATCGTTTCCTAAAAATTTGTGTTATCAGTCAGGAGCAAAAAAATTTTTTTTCTTTGTCACTGTTTTTTAAGAGTAGTGAAATTGTACTACAAAAAGTAGTGAAATAATTGGTGCAACGCTCAGATGAAAAATTTTTGTGCGAAGATGCACTTTTTTCTAATCGCGTTTGTTTGTCTACAAAATTTTTTGAGAAAATTTCTGTAGACAATTGTTTTATTTTTTTTGAATAAAAGTGGCAAAAAAAAATCTGTTTTTGTTGCAATGAATTATTTTAGTTTACTGGCACCTTTTTATCATTTTACCTGAATCGTTTTGAAAAAGTTTTTAATATATATTCTTCTGTCTTTTAACAAAGGGAGGGGAAATAAAATTTTAGAATTAGAGCAATGCCTTTGCCTTTTAGACCCTAATTTGTTTCAGTAGCGTTTGCGGGATATCTTAATTCTGTCTTCTTCTCTTTTCTGCTAAACGAACGGTTACGAAAATGAAAGCGAATTTGGCTACGCTTCTACTGCTATTGGTTTCAGTTGTTGCTGTTTCTTCTAGACCTCAAGGATCAGGAACGCTTGGACTAGGAAACACACAGCTATCACAAACATCACAGTTGGAAATACCACTAACTTCACAAGTTCAGCTGCCGGAAACACCACAATTGCAGGTGATACAAACTCCACAATTTCAGGTGCCACAAATGCAACAAATGCAGTTTCCACAAGTACTCCAAATTCCGCAGTGGGAAACGCCACAAGTACCACAGTTGCCACAGGTACCTGTTCCGCCAGAACACCTTCGAGAAAATGCTGGATATAACTGCTATGGTTCACCGTCG